ATTAAACTGATAAGAATAGTACTACTTAACACACCACTCCTATCTGGTGGCACATTAGATTGCACGCGCAGTGCCCCAAATTTGTTGTGATCTGTGAGTAAGGTAAACGGTTGTCCATACAAGTAAGGTTGCAGCTTTTTGAGGGCCCACACCACCGCCATGCACTCCTTTTCAATGGCAGTGTATCTACTTCCCTGGGCAAAAGTTTACGGCTTAGATAAGCCCCGGGTTGCTCGCCACCATCTGCTCCGACTTGGCTCAGTACTGCTCCCAATCCAAGCATAGAAGCGTCTGTATGGACGAGAAAGTGTTTAGCTGGATCAGGAGAAGAAAGTACAGGTGATTTAATGAGCGCCGTCTTGAGCTGTTGGAAGGCCTGTTCACACTCTGGGGCCCATACTACTATCTTGGGAGGTTTTTACGCGTTCCTATATGGCACTTACTGGGCTTTAGGGTTAGTCCGGCCTCCCTATTCCGGTCTAGTACGGCTCCTATGTGGGTCAGGTGTTCGGGCCAGGAGCAGCTAAAAATGGCTATATCATCCAAGTAGACGCAGGCATACTCCTGAAACCCATCCAGTAGCCGATCTACCATCCTCTGAAAGTTAGCCGGGGCATTCTTCATCCCGAATGGCATGACCTTAAACTGATACAGGCCAAACAAGGTGACAAATGCCGACTTGTGGATGGCGTCCTCGGCTAATGGAATTTGCCAGTACCCCTTGCACAGATCTATTGTGGTGAGGTACTGGCCTCTGGCCATTTTGTCTAGGAGCTCGTCTATCCGGGGCATAGGATAGGCGTCTGAGGTTGTTCACATGGAGCATGCGCTTGCCTCCCGTGCCTGTGACTGCACCGATCACAAAGGTGGTATCACAAACCTGCTCTACCACCTTGTATGGGCCCTGCCAGTAAGTCTGCAGCTTGTCCTTGTGGACAGTGTCAATCCATATCTGCCAAGTGACCCTATGTAGGAGGAACAGTTCCTATTCTGCTCTGTGTCAGTGTGTATCAGGGATCCTTAGGACAGGTGTCAATCCATATCTGCCAAGTGACCCTATGTAGGGGGAACAGTCTCTATTCTGCTCTGTGTCAGTGTGTATCATGGTCTCTGAGGACAGGTGTCAATCCATATCTGCCAAGTGACCCTATGTAGGAGGAACAGTCTCTATTCTGCTCTGTGTCAGTGTGTATCAGGGTCTCTGAGGACAGGTGTCAATCCATATCTGCCAAGTGACCCTATGTAGGGGGACCAGTCCCTATTCTGCTCTTTGTCCGTGTGCATCAGGGGCTCTGAGGACAGGTGTCAATCCATATGTCAAGGTGTCAATATGTCAGGTGTCAATCCATATTCATTGTGATTTAGGAATGTTAGGTGATTTCTGCCCTTTATGGATTAAAACCAGACTCTGCATCAACTGTGTAATTTTCCATGGGAGTTTTGCTGCTTGCTGCTGCTGGGATGAGGGATCAACAATCTCCTCTCCCTGTGACGCTGAACGGTGCTGGGTAGTGAGACTGACTATCTCCACTCAGTGGCGTACATACCGGGGTCGCAGGGGTCGCAGCTGCAACCGGGCCTGGCCCACCAGGGGGCCCAGCCACCCCTGCGACCCGATATGTATGCCAGTGTTGCCAGCCTCTTCTCCTGGGGGGCCCAGGAGCCGGCCACCTCAGGGCCCCCCGAGGCTGGCCTTGCTGTTACCCGGCTGGCGCGTGCGTGAGGGAGCACTCTCCCTTGAGTGCTTCCTCTTCAGCTCCCTTGCGCCGCGTACTGATGCCGGAGCCAGAAGATGACATCATCTGACATCATCTTCCGGCTTCAGCATCAGTACGCGGCGCGCAAGGGAGCTGAAGAGGAAGCACTCAGGGAAGAGTGCTCCCTCTCGCGCCCGCCAGCCTGCCCGCTGACTGGCTGCCCAGCAACACCACTGGATCTCCAAAAGGCAAGGAGGCTGGGGGATTGAATTTAAAAAAAAAGTGTGTGTGTGTCTGTCTGTTACTAAGTGTATTTGTGTGTCTCTTAGTGAGTATGTCTGTCAGCTAGTGTGTATGCGTCTGTTCGTGACAGTGTGTGTCTTCAGCACTTACCTTTCTCCAGCGCCGGACTCCCTTGGCATTGGGGATCCCTCCACCTCTCATACTCAATGCTTTCCTATGGACGTTCAGTGTCAGAAGGGGGGCTGTGGGGATATTTATGGGATAATAGTAAACAGTGAGAATTGCCCACTAATTCAATTCTCAGATCCCAAAGATCGTTATCGTGTTAAGTGAAAAGTATTTCATATAAATAAAATCACAATTTGTATAAAAATAGATTTTATTTTATAATAACAATTAATTAACAAATAATATTATGTAACATGCATGACAATAATCAATGAATATCCCATATAAAATGGTATGCAATACAAAGGAATGGGTATACACGTTCAATGGCTAAACAGCATTTTCTGTCAAGACTTATACGATTTATGAGGTATCCTTACAGACATAGAAAGCGAAGCTTTTCACAGCGAAGGGCCATAAAACCCTGGCTAACAGTTAGAATAACCCTTTCAATGCTGGCTAGACCTCCTAGGTAATTAAGATCTATTCTTATGTAATTTTAAATAAAACAACATTTAAACCAGTTCATTAGTCATTTCCTGGAACCATCCAATAAGAGAATCTACCATGTTATATAAGCAGAATTTTAGTTTGTCTAAAAAGATATCTTATCTTATATTAGAGCAAATCAATACACCTGGATAAAAACAGCGGTATGCTAACATGTGATAATATCACATTAATATATAATTATTCTTAATTCCACCTGCAGAATGGAATGTTTATAACTATATATTCTTTAGTTAACTAAGATTTCTAATATGGAAATCTGACCGTGCTTTATCCAGTATATATCATGCTATTAGTACATTTTAATTAATTTAATTAATTAAATGAAACCAGTATAATTACCAGTTGAGTAGATATTTAATCCGATCGGTAGATAGTCTCAGGAACTTATTTGGATGTCTGTAGGTGCATGAGTTATGGTGAAAGGTGGTGTTGGTTAGAAAGTCAGTAAAATTCTAAGTGTTAGAGTTTTAAGAGTAGAGTGTTAGTCTCAGATGTTGTCCTGGGTTTCTCTGCATGTCCGAGTTGGAGTCCCCAAACTTCCATTTCCTCTCTCTCTTTTTCCTTTTCTCAACCCCCCTGTCTTCCCTTTGTACTAACTTTTTAAAGGGAAAATGCACTAGTTGCTAGACCAATAGAAACACTGGGGGTGTGGTTATCTAGGGATCGCAATTTAGGTATTTGGTCTATAGAGGACAGTCTTGTCCCACTAAAAACATACCTATCCAGGAAAGAGTTAACTTTTCCTGGTGGCTATTTTGACATCATTTTGGCTTATCTTGATAGTTGCCATAACTTACGTTTCCTTTCACTTCAAAGGGTTTTCTCCAGACTTAGTGTCCGCAATTCCTGCTATAATTTCTGATATGACAGTTATAACTAAGTTTTGACCCGTAACTTACAATGGGATCTTGTACATATAGAAAGTAACATTTTATTATTTAATCTCCTCTGTCACAAATGTCTGTGTTTAGATATGCATCTATTCCATTAACATTTTAGACAGTCTGTCCAACCCCCGTTCTCCTTATCACTTGGTTTGTATATACTATGCATTCCTTTAGCTCTGGGAAAGTGGTTAGTTTTACAGATAGAAATGTTATGTCTCTTTGTTAACTTGAAAATAACAAAATGGAGTCTGCTCTGTTTAGAGTGACTCAGCATATACACTTTTAATTTCTATCATAGCACAAGATGTCTGCCGATATAAATACTCTGACATAACCCCCCTTTAGTGCATTTCGTAGACAAAATTTAATTTAGCTTATGAATAAGCACTATAGAAGTTACCAGACATATTGTATATTATTTCTAACATAGGCCCGTGCGTGGAATTAACATTTTTGTATGTATTTGTACCTGTAATAGTTTTGAACTTTACACTTAGTACGATCAACCATAATATCATTATCATAGCACACCCAATAACAATCTTAACATGGATGAACCAGTCAACACACGCAATAAGGTCAGTATCTAGCCCAGAGTATTTAAATGTATCCACAGAGATGTTATCTTTTCTGATTGACATTTGGATAGTGTGGTTGGGCTTATGGTCCAGCAAGAACTTTAGATTAGGGTCTAGAGGGATATCTAGATTCTAGAGGGATATCTAGATTCTGGGTCTAGAGGGATATCTAGATTCTCAATAGCACTTTCGATGACGTCAGTGTACACTGGGTATAGCGTAACGTCACCAATGGTGATACGAGAGTCGTGGGGTACCTTGATCAGTGAGACAGGTGCTGGTAAGGCAATTACTTTATTAGTCACCTGGTCCCTGCGAAAAACACTTATGTTTTTAAGACACGTGCTTACCAACCATTTCTTTTACTAAGATAGCATGTACTAACGCATTACTGTCGGTTTTTGACATAGTTACTTGACATGTTTCAGAGCCATGTTTAAGGTACTCAATCCCACACAAAGCATTGGTAGAATCGTACACAAAAGGTTTTCCATCACATTGGAAATTATTGTCTTTGAATTTCTCACAGTCATTCAAAATGGGTATTGAATACCAATCTGGTATCCACGGTTGAAAAGCCAAAACATCTGGGGTTTGGACTTTTACATGGATATTTTCCTTCCAAGTACCGACGTTGTAAATTGTTTTCATTTGAAAAATGTTTTTGGGAGTTACATATGGTATGGCCAATAAAAAGCAAATCTCCATACGTTCCAGATCAATTAAGATAGGTATAGCGCTCCCCGTCTCAAAGGCCAGATTTAATTGCATAGGCTCAATTGTTTCTCCATCCACATTGGCAAGCATCGCATGAACAATATCCTTGGATACAAAATACAGAGGTATGCGTCCCCCTGCCAATTCGATCATTCCAGTTTGCACTTCGTCAAGAAAAGCAAGTGTGTGGAACAATATTAGGTCATGCAGAAATAGAAGTTCACGCTTAAATAAGTCATGACTTTGGTGCAAGTGGATTTGGCAATTAACTCCAAATGCAAATTTGTTGTAACAACTGTGTCTTCCACAATAGTTAACACGTCTTGGAGAAGTGTTCTTTGCTGTTTTATCACCTGATGAATATCGTTAATGTGTTGCTTTAGCGCATAGATTTCCATATCCAGCTTTTGGACAGTAATAGAGTTGGCTGCAGACATTCCAGTTGCGACAACTGCACCAACAGTGGCACAAACTAATGCAACAATTATGGTGGTGAGGAACCTTTTGGGTCGGTTGCTCATCGGAATAGAACTGGATACAAATGGTTTCCGGGCTTGCTCCAAGATGTTTCGCACACGGTCCTGTGCTCTTTGGAGGTGCATCTGGTACCAAGTCTGTAACTCAGGAAGCTGCATCGATGAAATGTTGTATGCCTTCTCGATGGAAATCTTGGGGTCCAAGCTGACGAACACACGTCAGGTCAGGATCCTCTTCTCTGTCAAGATGAACCCTGGTGTCTCTTGAATCAGGATGCTGGAGGATGGTCCCATCTCTGCGATCGGGTCGGTCCGTAGCTCTTGGCACAGGAGCAGTACGATCCAGAAACACGCCACATCCTTCTTGGACATCTTTCGACAGTCACGGATCAGGAACTCGTTTCAGACTTATCTACTAATGATTCAAGGTTTGTTAAGCATACAAACTTATAACAGTGTGACATCACTTGGCCTAGGACAACAAATTATTACGATTCATCAACATATGTATTCTCTCTATTTCTATTTTTATAACTTCATCCCTCACTACATTTATTACTGACTCTTCAGTAATTCGCCTATAGCAGTTAAGCAAGCTAGTAACCTGCTTAGAAAATGTAGTTATTGGATGGCAAGGAAATGGTTAATGACATGAACGTATATGAGATCATGGCACATCACAACATTTCACATCATACTATACCACGTGAATCAAGCATTCATCCAGGTTAGTCGTTCACCCTTCTGCGTCCGAATCCACACCTATAATCCTTAATTGAGATTTAGGAGGACAAGCACGCAACTGGTTAATGTGAACCCACTTTTCAATAAAATCACCATCCTTAGGAATTTTTATCTTGTACGCTACTGGGGAAATTTTGTCAATGATGACATATGGCCCTTTCCAAGAAGGTAAAAATTTCTTTTCCTTGACTTGATTTCGCGCAAAGTTATACAGATAGACTTGATCTGTTATCTCATATTCCTTTTTCGTGGTTTTTAGATCGTAATAGGTCTTAACCCCTGTCGCTGCTTTTTCTAGATTCTTTTGGGCAAAAGCAAACGCATGCTGTAAATGCTTGCGCAAATCTTCGATATACTGATGCGTAGTGGCAGCATTGATCAAGTTATGATCCGAAGTACGATATAGTAAATGCTGTGGTAAAACCATCTTTCTTCCTGTCATCAATTCAAAAGGTGACAATTTTGTAGCAGTGCTAGGTGTAGTTCTAATCGCCATTAAAACTAGGGGCAATTTAATGTCCCAGTCTTTACCAGACTCCTTAACATATTTCTTCAGAATATTAACGATAGACTGTTATATTGCTCTACCCCCCCGCTAGACGCAGCGCGGTATGCAATATGTAGCTTTCGTTTAACACCTAGAATGTTCCACATCTTAGCCATTACTTCGCTGGTAAAATGACTACCTCTGTCTGACTCAATTCTTTGAGGCAGACCGAACCTGGAAAAGACATGGTTAATCAACAAAGTGGCGCACACGGTACTCGTGTTCTCTTTACAAGGCAAACATTCTATCCACTTTGTGTACATACATGTAACGGTTAACATGTATTTGTTACCTCTTGAAGATCTTGTTACAGGACCTATAAAGTCAATTTGAATATCAGACCAGGGTAATGACACCCCCCTCTTCTGAAGTGGTGCACGATGGGTTGGACCATGGGGTTGATATTGCGGACAAATCAAGCATCCCTGACAGTATGTCTTAACATCCCTTAACATGTGTGGCCAATATGCATAATCACGCAATATCTCATATGTGATCTTATCACCACGATGCCCAGATGTAGGTGCATCATGTGCGTGTTGGAGCATTAACCCTCGGTATACAGTTGGGACTACCCATTGTTGTATACCATGTTTAGAAGTTCTGACCAGTAACCTATCCATGATACTAAATTGGACTTTATATCTCATCAAGATTCGTAAATCTTCATTATCTTTGCAATCCTCATCTGTGATGGGATTGGCAGTAGGGTCTTCTATATGTCTATAGAATATGCCTATGACGGGATCATTCTTTTGACTAGTAATCAGGTCCTCACTAGGAGCTTCTTGACTCCATTGCACGACATTTAAGTCGGCATTATCTCTAGCCTGTCGTCTAGTTATGGCTTCAACATGAATTGAACCCATAAGATCATCAATGTTTAGGGTTTCACCATTGATGGCTGCCTGTTTTGCCAGTGAATCGGCTAAGTCATTACCATCCTTGTCAATACCTTCTATTTTAGAATGGCCTTTGGTTTTCTTCCAATATATGGTTAAACCATTTTCCTTAACCAACTCATCGATTTTACAAAACAATTTTCCATGTTTAACAGGTTTGTTATCGCTTTTCAGCATTTGGTTACGTTTCCAGCTAGGCAGATATTCGACGAAACTGTTGCGAACATAGTTGGAATCAGTTATAATAACAAATTCTTTGATACCATATTCTATTGCCATTTGAATGGTCTTATATACTGCACAGAGTTCGGCTATCTGACTGCTTTTGGGACCAATATTGCATCCTATAGATACATTAGGATAATCACCTGTCCAGGCGATTCCGATACCTGCAACTAACTTCCGTTCAGCACCAACGACGTGGTGATATGAACAACCATCAATGTATACCCACGGTAGTGGTCGACAGTATTCCTCGTCATAAACTTTATAAGGGGATAGCAATTGCTCTTCTAGGAAGTCATCTCCGGTGTCATTATCATCCAGAGATGGAGCAGTACAGTCATGTAATTCTGCTAAACCTTGGGCAACTGGGCTTCTCTTATTATGTTTATAACGGACTTCTAACGGCCATCCCTGTAAGGATAGAGTCCATGCCGTAATCCGACCGTCTCTAATTCTTTCACTCTGCAGATACTGTAGAGGTTGGTGAGCTGTTTCTACAATTATTTTCTCACCTTGGATATAGCTACGAAAATTTTGTAGTGCCCAGACAGTCGACACTAACGCCTTCTCACACGTGTTGAATTTAACTTCAACAGGTGACAAAGTCTTGCTAGCATATGTAATAACTTTGTTTAGACTGTCCTGCTTCTGATACAGAACAGCACTTATGCTTAAATCGGTATATCCTGTCTCCAGATAGAAGGGTTTACCCCCCTCTGGGTATGATAAACAGGGTGCCTGAGTGAGCTTCCTCCTCAGTTCACTTACTGCTTGGTCCTGAGGCTCCCCCCAGTTCCAGGTAGTTTTCTTTTTAAGCATGTGTAAGAGTGGTTTAGTTATTTCTGCATAGTTATCTATAAACTTACGGGAGTAGTTAGTCATACCAAGGAACAATCTTAATTCCCTGATGTTTGAAGGTGTTTTAGCCTTTAGTACGGCTTCAACCTTCTTCCTCTGGGGATTTAATCCTTCAGAAGTTACCTCATGTCCGAGGAAATTGACATGGGTGCGACACCATTGTGCCTTTTGTAAAGACAGTTTAATCCCTGCCTCTCTTAACTGAGTGAGAACATGTCTAATCTCTAAGATATGCTTATCAAAGGAAGTGCTTTTCAGCAAGACATCGTCGACATATGATAACGTTCCTCTCTCGAGTGCGTCAGGCATAGCTTTATGCATGAACACAGTGAATTCATGACCAGAGTTTATGTAACCGAAAGGCATACGGGTCCAGGTATACTGCTGCTTTCCAAATGTGAAGGCCAATTTGTATTGGTCTTCATTATGGACTGGTACAGTCCAATATCCCTGCGCACAGTCAATGGCAGTGAATATTTTGGATCCCTGCATTTGTACCAAACATTGGTCTATGTATGGCGTTGGCCAACCAGACATATAGCTGTGTTTATTTAGCTGTCGTAAGTCAGCGCAATAACTGCATTGTCCATTAGGTTTCAGAATCCCCAATATCGGATTATTATACGAACTGTGCACTTTAAATTCTGAATGATGTCTTGTAGACCATCATATGACGCTAATGGGAGTCTATATTGTTTGATAAATACAGGTGGTAAATTTGGATCAGTTTGTATTCTGGTTACATGGAGGTTAGTTAACCCACAGTCGTAGGAATCTTTGGCAAAAATATCTTGGAATTCCATTAGGATTTACTTTAGCTGATGCCGCTCAGCATCGTTGGAGCAACCGTCAGCTAAATATATTTGCTCTTCTAGCCTTTCCTGAAATCCTGGGAAGATTTCAGGCTGGCCTATCTCATAAGCTTCTTCAAGCCTAGAAGTTAGGTCAGTTCGGTGTTGACTTACCTTTTCTCTTTGGTCGTGATACTCTTGTGATTCCTGCTCATTGAGTGGATGATCGAAGGTGATAGATGCTTCTTCGATTTTACACGAGCCTTCTTCGACGTTGAAGGGATATACAGATAGGATAGTGAATAATCCTTCTGGGGAGTAATGGAATATTTGATCGACAATTTCGTCCTCAGTTAAGTATTCTTCAGGGATGAGGCCTATAATTTGGTTTTGGAAACCAAATGTATAGTACTCCGCATCCAATGCTAGACCTAATAATGTTCCTTTTGGTAAAGTAACACTATTGGGTGTAACATTGTTGACCATGATATAGGTGGGATTCTTACCAATACTTACCATTGGTGTATGTGTTACCACTGTGGCAAAACCGACCTCGCCACGTGTCCTTGGAGGGGGCTGCTTGCCCACCTCTTGCCTTTGGACTATGGCCCTGCAGGTTAAACTGTTTATTTTCCCTGCAGAAAGGCTTATTCGTGTGATCTGAGTGCCATTCATCTAATAATGTGCAGTCAGATCCAAGCTATCTGGGGATATGTGAAATGTCTGTGTTTTATGTACTAAATGTGTCAGTATGTAATTTTATGTCTTTTACTGTCTTTTTGTCTGCCATGTGGGTAATGGAGTTTGGCTCTGTCTTTGGAGATAATTAGATTCCTTCTCCAATTATCTTCAGGGCAGAAGGGAGGAAGCCAGGATGCATTGTGGGGATGTTTTACTTTTACTGTTTGAGCCAGGGGGAACAAAAGATACTTTTACTAACTTTTGAACCCCTGGTCTGATTCATGCCATTTTTTAATATGTTGTTCCCCTGAATGGATTGATTGTGAATATGTATTTTTATGCGAATGTGATGTATATTTTGGGAGTTATGAATGTTGTGTAAAAACTGTATTTTCCCTACCTATGATAATTGTATTTTCCTGTGTGTACAGATAATTAGTTTACAGGTAGAGGGGAGGGCTATGTGTGGGATGTAACTATTGTGTGATTGGTTAATGTACGTTACTGTGTGTGTCCCTCCCCTTCATGGGAGCACCTAATAAAAGGGCTGCAAGCTAGCAGCCAGAGAGTTCTATTTTTACCCTCAACTTGAGTCCTGTCTCTTATTGGGGGAATCTGCTACAAGGGATTGCTATGCTAGGCATATTCCCTTGCTATAATCACTGAGCTCTTGTAAGAGCTTGTTCCTGCTTCGTTCTGAAGGGAGATAGCTGCAGCCTGCGGTGCTTATGGTGTCTGGTGGAGTGCTTGGAGTCCTCTGGAAGCGCTAGGAGCATCTTTCAACGGAGGTACCCAGTCGGGGTGCCAGGTGATCCGTTACATTGGTGGCAGCGGTGGGATGGCATCCTAGTGCGAGGAGAAGCAGCTCGGAGACACCGGTAACGTGTGGAGTTGTGCAGCGTCCTTATCTTCAGCAACATAATGGAACCAGCAGTGGCTACAGCAAGCATGGCGTATAGCTACTCCGTACTAGAGTTTGGCACGATGGTAGGGTTGCACCTGAAGTTTTACGGACCCAATCCAGAGGAGAAATACGTGCGGTTCGTGTGGGACATGGTGACCCGGAACCTACAACACAGGGCGTTGAGGGAAGGCCAGTGGGCACGTTGGGAGAAACTCCAGCCACAGGTAGAGTGGGGCGAGGAAGAAACCGAGGTGGCCGGTGGAGATGGGACCGAGGTCTCTCTACCGGCCCTACAGGGATGCTGGGCACCCGGCCCAGATCCCCAGCGGCAGTATGTTTTACAGGGAGGGGAGACAGTCGGTCTCACTCCCCAGCGGCAGAATGTGTTATTGGAGGAAGAGACAACCGGTCTCCCTCCCCAACAGCAACCAGAGGTACCCGAGGTAGAGGACCTCATAGACTGGTCCTGGGAGGACCCCTGCAGGCAGGTGGAGATGGGACCGAGATCTCTCCACCGGCCCTACAGGGATGCTGGGCAACCGGCCCAGATCCCCAACTAGAGCTGGAGTTACAGAAAGTGGAGAGCATCGACCTCCCCCCCCAGCAGCAGCCGGAGTACCAGGGGGAGGTAAGTGATATTTCTCCTCCCCAGCCAACTCCTTTGTTCCCTGACCCCCAGCAGAAGAGCTGGCAACTGGGCAGAGCGCCGCTGGCCTCTGTCCTCCCTTGTTTCCTTCCCCTGAGCCTGACTTTCTACAGGCTGCCCCAGCGGAAGGTGCCGTCCTTCCTCCCCAGCGGCAGTGCGTACCCCAGGGAGCTGATGGTGTTGTCCGTCCTCCCCAGCAGCAGTGTGTAACCCAGGGAGCCGAAGGTGTCGTCCTTCCTCCCCAGCGGCAGTGTGTCCTGCAGGGAGCAGAGACCGTCAGTCTCACACCCCAGCAGCAGGGCAAAATAATGAAAGGGGAGACAGCTGGTCCGCCTCTCCACCAGCAGAGAGAGTGTCAGGGAGAGGAGCCTGTTAACCCCTCTCCCCAGCGGCAGTTGACAGTCCAGAGAGAGGAGCTTGTTACACCCTCTCTCCAGCGGCAGCCTAACCCACCAAGGGGAGATGTTGAGCCCCGCAACTGTGCAGATGGGACCGTAGTCTCTGCGCTTACAGCCCAAGGGGTAGAGACGGTCGGTCCTGTTCCCCAGCCCCAGAGCTGTGTACCCAGAGGGGAGAAGGTCGGTCTCCCCCTCCCACAACCAGGCTCCAATCAGGCTACTTCGGTGGTAGCACTGGCACCAGGGCAGAGTACCGCTGGTCTCTGCCCACTCAGCAACCCACCAAGGCAGTCTACCAGCTCCCCACACAGCCGTGGTGAGGCACCTGGACATGGACAAGTTGCTACTTTATCCAGGTGGAGTAAACATTTATTGTGGGTGGGCTGTACTGCTGTTTGTGCTTCGTGGGTGGGTTGCTGGACTAACCAGGGCACTGACCGGCAGGAGGTCAGATACCCTGTTAGTCTGGGGGGCAAAGGGGAGAAGTGTGGCAAAACCGACCTCGCCACGTGTCCTTGGAGGGGGCTGCTTGCCCGCCTCTTGCCTTTGGACTATGGCCCTGCAGGTTAAACTGTTTATTTTCCCTGCAGAAAGGCTTATTCGTGTGATCTGAGTGCCATTCATCTAATAATGTGCAGTCAGATCCAAGCTATCTGGGGATATGTAGAAATGTGTGTTTTATGTACTAAATGTGTCAGTATGTAATTTTATGTCTTTTACTGTCTTTTTGTCTGCCATGTGGGTAATGGAGTTTGGCTCTGTCTTTGGAGATAATTAGATTCCTTCTCCAATTATCTCCAGGGCAGAAGGGAGGAAGCCAGGATGCATTGTGGGGATGTTTTACTTTTACTGTTTGAGCCAGGGGGAACAAAAGATACTTTTACTAACTTTTGAACCCCTGGTC